AAAGAAAAGAAAAGAAAAGAAAAGAAAAGAAAAGAAAAGAAAAGAAAAGAAAAGAAAAGAAAAGAAAAGAAAAGAAAAGAAAAGAAAAGAAAAGAGAAAAGAAAAAGGAAAAGGAGGAGGCTCACCCGCTGCAGTGTCTGGATGGTGACACCGGCCACCAGCGACACCACGATATGGTGGGAGTCCACAGCAGGACGGATCTCCTCCAGGACAGCCGGCAGGATGTGGGGTTTGGTGGCCAGGAAGACCAGGGTGCTCCTGTGCACCACTTCCAGGTTGCAGTGTGTGGTCCGGCAGCCCAATTCCTGCCCGGGGACAGGGAGAGGGGTCACCCCCAAAATCAGCACCCCCAAAAACAGCACCTCCATGGTAAAAGCACATCCAGAGGCAGGGACAAGGCTTGGGGACCTGCTCTGGCCACAAAGCCACCAAAGCTCTGCCTGGATCTCACCCAGACCTGGGAAGGATGAGYCAAATGGGGAAAGGGTACTCTGACCCCACAGGGAGGGGCACCCCAACATCTCCCACCCCCCAGCCCCACTCACCCGCCAAGCATCCAGGTTTTTGTCCGAGGGAGCGCTGGCCAGGATGTTGCTGGCTGGAACCTTCCCTTGGGGAACAGGGGGAATGGGGTGAGTGGCCAGGGTGGCTCCAGAGTGGGGGGGACACCCCAGCACAGCCCAGACACCCCAATCTCCACTGGAAYGTGATTCCTCCAACCCCAGCACGATCCCACTGGGGGACAAAGAGAGCTGGGGATGGATCCTGATGGTGTTGCTGGAATATGGGGAGCCATGGGGACGGCTCTGGGTRCCCACTTGTGCCATGGTAAAGTGACGGTGGAGGTGACCCCAAATGGGCAGGACGGCCCCGTGCTGAACTATGGGATGGGGACAATCTGAGACACATGAGGAGCAGGGACAGGGCTGTGCCCTGACTATCTGTTGGGACAGGGACATCCCCATGTCCCCACATCAGTTTATAGGATAAGGATTCAGGAGAGGGCTGGGAACTCAGAGGAGTAGGACAGAGCAGGACTGTCCCTATGTCCCCACACTGATCTGTGGGACAGGAACCCCAGGAGAGTGGAGTAGGACAGGGCTGTCCCCATGTCCCCACACTGATCTGTGGCACAGGAACCCCTGGAGAATGGAATAGGACAGGGCTGTCCCCATGTCCCCACACTGATCTGTGGCACAGGAACCCCTGGAGAATGGAATAGGACAAGGCTGTCCCCATGTCCCCACACTGATCTGTGAGACAGGAACCCCAGGAGAGTGGAATAGGACAGGGCTGTCCCCATGACCCCACACTGATCCGTGAGACAGGAACCCCTGGAGAATAGAATAGGACAAGGCTGTCCCTATGTCCCCACAYTGATCTGTGGGACAGGGACACCAGGCAGGGCAGGGTCCCCTGGAGAGAGCGGCAGGAAAGGGCTGTCCCCATGTCCCAGGCAGGACAGGAACCCAGGGAAGGGCTGGGACCTTGGGAATAGGCCAGGACAGGGCTGTCCCCATGTCCCTCCAATAAAGCACAGGGACCCGGGGGCGGGCTGGGACCTTGAGAATGGGCCAGGACACGGCTGTCCCCGTGTCCCCACACTGGAGGACAGGGATCCGGGAGCGGGTTGGGACCATGGGAATGGGTCAGGACGCGGCTGTCCCCATGTCCCCACACTCCACAACAGAGTGGGGACTGCAGGGAGCGTCCAGACCAACGCTGTCCCCATGTCCCCACACTTCCCCGCGACACAGGAAGCGCAGGGACGCCGGGGAGGCGCCAGACCAGGACTGTCCCCATGTCCCCTCCCCTGCCCGTGTACCAGGGACCCTCCTGTCGCCCCCCAGCCCGTACCTGCCTGCAGCAGCCCCCGGACGAGCCCCCCGGCCATGCGCCCGGCGCCCACGAACCCGACCCACAGCTCGGACGACTCCATCGCTACCCGCGGCCACGCCCCCAGAGCCGCACCCCCGGCGCTGATTGGTCGCTTCCAGCCACACCTCCGCTTTCCTATTGGTGGAGCTCGCTATAAGGGGCGGGAAAACGGAGCCTGGGAGACGGAACTGCGCATGCGTGCGGCGCCACGTGGTTYGCTCAGGTCCAYGCGTGGGGGTTCCCGAAGGGGGTTCCTGACATTTCCCAAATCTTCCCAAACCTCCCCGCAGGGCTCAGCGGAGCTCAGGCACCCCATGGGCTACAGGAGGGGTCCCCCCAGGGGGGTGGGGACCTGAGTTTGAGTTGGGGGAGGTCCCCAAATTTGTCCGTGGGTGTGGGGGTTATTCCCCACCCTCTTCTCCCCATAGCCCACCCCCCACACTGGCAGCCCTGGGTTTATGGGGGGGCCTCTCCGTGGGGGTGTCCCCTAATTTGTCCATGGATGCGGGTGCTGCTTTCCTCACCCTCTTTTCCCTACAGGACCACCACCCAACAGCACCCCTGGGACTATGGGAGATGTCACCCTGCTCTTCAGGGCCAGCTGAGTGTCCCTGAGGGTCAGGTCCCCACCCCAAGGTTGGGGTGTCCTCACCAGGGTGGCACCTTTGGGTAAGGGACAACCCATTGGGAGACAGGCAGGGCTGGGGATGTGACACACAGGGAGAAATTTGGGGTGGAATTGGTGTCCTGAAGGATGGCCAAGGCACCCCAAGGACATGGAACATCTGTACAAAACCCGTTCTTCCCAAACCAGRTGACACCAGAGCCTGTRATGGATGCTGGGAAGCACTGGGACCCCAAACCCTGCAGCCCAAGGGCCACCACGTGAGCACCAACCACCCAGAACGTCCCTACTCCATGGCTTGGTGTCACCTCAGGGAGACACCCCGCTGCTGGTGGCTTCTTGAGGTGCTGATGGGTGTCTCCTCTGTAGGTCCCTGTGCTGGGGCCTCACCAGGGCCAGGCAGCGGTGCCGGAAGAAAGCCATTCCTGGACAGGAATTTTGTCACATCCANTGGAATAGGACAGGGCTGTCCCCATGACCCCACACTGATCCGTGAGACAGGAACCCCTGGAGAATAGAATAGGACAAGGCTGTCCCTATGTCCCCACAYTGATCTGTGGGACAGGGACACCAGGCAGGGCAGGGTCCCCTGGAGAGAGCGGCAGGAAAGGGCTGTCCCCATGTCCCAGGCAGGACAGGAACCCAGGGAAGGGCTGGGACCTTGGGAATAGGCCAGGACAGGGCTGTCCCCATGTCCCTCCAATAAAGCACAGGGACCCGGGGGCGGGCTGGGACCTTGAGAATGGGCCAGGACACGGCTGTCCCCGTGTCCCCACACTGGAGGACAGGGATCCGGGAGCGGGTTGGGACCATGGGAATGGGTCAGGACGCGGCTGTCCCCATGTCCCCACACTCCACAACAGAGTGGGGACTGCAGGGAGCGTCCAGACCAACGCTGTCCCCATGTCCCCACACTTCCCCGCGACACAGGAAGCGCAGGGACGCCGGGGAGGCGCCAGACCAGGACTGTCCCCATGTCCCCTCCCCTGCCCGTGTACCAGGGACCCTCCTGTCGCCCCCCAGCCCGTACCTGCCTGCAGCAGCCCCCGGACGAGCCCCCCGGCCATGCGCCCGGCGCCCACGAACCCGACCCACAGCTCGGACGACTCCATCGCTACCCGCGGCCACGCCCCCAGAGCCGCACCCCCGGCGCTGATTGGTCGCTTCCAGCCACACCTCCGCTTTCCTATTGGTGGAGCTCGCTATAAGGGGCGGGAAAACGGAGCCTGGGAGACGGAACTGCGCATGCGTGCGGCGCCACGTGGTTYGCTCAGGTCCAYGCGTGGGGGTTCCCGAAGGGGGTTCCTGACATTTCCCAAATCTTCCCAAACCTCCCCGCAGGGCTCAGCGGAGCTCAGGCACCCCATGGGCTACAGGAGGGGTCCCCCCAGGGGGGTGGGGACCTGAGTTTGAGTTGGGGGAGGTCCCCAAATTTGTCCGTGGGTGTGGGGGTTATTCCCCACCCTCTTCTCCCCATAGCCCACCCCCCACACTGGCAGCCCTGGGTTTATGGGGGGGCCTCTCCGTGGGGGTGTCCCCTAATTTGTCCATGGATGCGGGTGCTGCTTTCCTCACCCTCTTTTCCCTACAGGACCACCACCCAACAGCACCCCTGGGACTATGGGAGATGTCACCCTGCTCTTCAGGGCCAGCTGAGTGTCCCTGAGGGTCAGGTCCCCACCCCAAGGTTGGGGTGTCCTCACCAGGGTGGCACCTTTGGGTAAGGGACAACCCATTGGGAGACAGGCAGGGCTGGGGATGTGACACACAGGGAGAAATTTGGGGTGGAATTGGTGTCCTGAAGGATGGCCAAGGCACCCCAAGGACATGGAACATCTGTACAAAACCCGTTCTTCCCAAACCAGRTGACACCAGAGCCTGTRATGGATGCTGGGAAGCACTGGGACCCCAAACCCTGCAGCCCAAGGGCCACCACGTGAGCACCAACCACCCAGAACGTCCCTACTCCATGGCTTGGTGTCACCTCAGGGAGACACCCCGCTGCTGGTGGCTTCTTGAGGTGCTGATGGGTGTCTCCTCTGTAGGTCCCTGTGCTGGGGCCTCACCAGGGCCAGGCAGCGGTGCCGGAAGAAAGCCATTCCTGGACAGGAATTTTGTCACATCCACACCACCCGCAATAGCCTGGCCACGGATTCATCCCTCCATTTTTGTCCCTTTATCCCTTCCCTGAAAGGGTTTAACCCTTTTTATGGCCTTTTCAGATCCTGGTGGAGCACACACCGACCCTGAGGATGCCACTGGACGTAGACACAGGCATATGTTCATTATCTCATCAGTTTTATGCTATTTGCATATATTTTAATAAATGCCACATTTACAACTGGTGTTTTTCCCATTGTGGTCCCTCCTATCCTGAGACTGGGGGCTGTGGGATCCATCCCCACGAGCCAACAGGAGCAGCAAATTCCCTGCTGCCATTTCCTTGCCCTGGAATCCTGATCACCTTCCCTTTATTATGCCTAATTGCAGGTAATTAATGTAGCTCGTTAACAACTCGGAGCCACCACCCTCTTGGATACAGTTACCGAGAGGGCTCCAGTTGGCTCCTACTGCTTAATTTGGGATCTTTTTGGGATGCCCCAATCTTCCTCCCCCCTGYGCTGGGCGTCCCGCGCCGCTCCCAGCAGTGGGGCAGGAATGTGGGAGCRGCTCCCTGGGCTCCCATTTTTACTTTGGAAATGTCACTGTCACCCCCCAGCCCCGTCCTCTGCCCCAGCAAAGGACAACCCTGAGTTGTAGAGGATGATCCCAGTTCTGGGTGATGCCGTCACTTCCTGGCGTTGGCATAGTTGGCGTTGAACCAGGCACAGGTTTCCTTCAYGGCTGGGGAGGGAGAAGATGGGATGGGTTTGGGAATCGATTTTTGTCACAGAATCATGGAATGGGTTTGAGGATTGGGGATGGATTTTGGCTGTAGAATTGTGGGATGGATTTGGGAATTAGAATGGATTTGGGTCACAGAATCATGGGATGTGTTTGGGAACTGGGAATGAATTTTGGCCACAGAATCATGGGATGGGTTTGAGGATTGGGAATGGATTTTGGCCATAGAATCATGGGATGGGGTTTGGGGAATGGATTTTGGTTCCAGAATCATGGGATGGGTTTGAGGATTGGGAATGAATTTTGGCCATAGAATCATGGGATAGCTTTGGGAACTGGAATGGATTTTAATCATGGAATT